GGCTAAATTCACATCAAGCATATTTTGGAACAATCAAAGCATATTTGAGAAACAAGTATTTGGACTAGACATTAAAAGGTTGAACATATGAAAGAAAGTACAGATGATATTTTAAATAGATGGATATGAAAAAGTCTACCAATTTGTTAGGGGCACAATAATCTATGTATTTTTAATTCAATCTCAATTAAAAATAAAACCAAGCAAAATATGTGTCTTGAATTGCCAACACAGCTCTAAATTTAGGACAAGCAGAAGTTGATAGTCCCAATTGTTAGTATCAAGAAGATGTCAGAATCTTTATATTATTCAATAATTATACATAACAGTTAAAATATGCCCCAATAATACTACAGTAACATAATCCATGACTTGGAAGATTAGGAAGGGCTCCGTGGAGGCTGAGGGGATGTTTTGGATTGGTGGGAAGAGTCTAACAGGTCCATTTTGGTACTTGATGCTCTGATAGAACAGCAAATTTTTAAAATTTCTTTTGGGCTTTGGAGCTCTCTTGTGAAAATCATGATTTCATATTTCATTGGCAAAAAATATATAAATTACCATTTATACCTAGTTATCTTAAAAAATGAAATTACTGCTATCATCATTCTATATTATATACCATGAAATAAATTGTATCTTTTTTAAGTGATAAAATTTAGGAAGTTTTGCAAAGAGCAAAATTAAAAAAAAATGCAAAAGAGAAAATAAACTTGGATAATGTGGTCAAACCCAAATGCCATTTATCATCCCCTTTCATCTGCTGGAGCTGTGCTACATATTTCTGAAAATGAAAGCAGAAGTAAGTAGCTAGCTTGGGTTGAAGTAGAAGAGGAGTTTAAGTATTTTTTTTATGCAATAAGAGGATTGTTTTTTCAATGAAATGACTTCCAAGGAAGCTGGAATATCAAGAATGTGGATCAGAAATACAAGGTATATTTTACCTGCTTCTTCCAAATCCATTCTATTATTATGTCTCCTCTTGACCCAGGTTGGCTTACATATATTTGCTTCCCCTTTTGTGGCAGCAAACTCTTTGTCACTCTCTCCATCAACATTTAGTATTCCTGTCCTGAGTCTGGACTGACACTGTGATTATTTAACAAAGAAGATGCAATGCAAATAGCTGTGGCACTCCACAGCAGTATTTATCAGGACTGGAAGCCTATGCTTCCTTTCAGAACCTAACCACCATGCTATGCAAAGCTCAAGCCACATGGAGAAGCCACATGCTGGTCGGCCATTTGACACCTCCAGTTGAGCTCCCAGCTGACATCTGCTTCAGCTGCCAGTCATATATGTGAGCTACCTTGAATGTTCAGGCCAAATTATGTCTCTAGCGGGCATCAAATGGGGCAGGAGAACCACTCAGCTGAACCCAGTAAATCAACAGCCTAGTGAGACATAATAAAGATTGCTATTTTAAGCTACTTCAGGTCAGTTTATTTTGCAGAAATGTGTAATTGAAATAGCTCCCCCCAAAGAGTTCTGGAATTGAGACCATAGAAGAGCTCATTTAATTTAAATTAAAAATAGATCATATTTAAATGGCCTATGTTTAATCATTATAACTAACTTCTGGAAACCAGTAGGCAAAATTTTAGAAGGCTCTTGTTTTGGAAACTAGGCACCTTTAAATTTGTTAATTGTAGTAAGGTAAAAAATTCACGTTTGATTGTTTATTCTTTCTGGTTCTCTTATTCTCTCATTGAATTGAAATGTAAAGAATGCATAATAGATATACTGTCTTGATTGAAAAAAAATCAGTGTTTTTCAGGATAAATAGCATGAGTCAGGCCTTCTTCAGATCTTGGCTCTTTATTTAGTCATTTACTCCGTGGCTAAATTACCTAAATTTCCTGAGCCCATGTCTCTTTATTTTCAAGGCAATAAGGACTATATAGTATTAGCAAAGATCAGAAATAATGTATGCTATGAACTTAGCAGAGTGCCAGGCACATAGGTAGAGCTCAAATAAATGTAGCTTTTATTATGAAAAAGGTGGTAATAGAAGGTTTTAAAAAGGTAGTAAAAAGATTGTCTTTTTTCATGTTTTTTAAGAGGACATGGAAATATGGGTGTTCCTGGGGTTGATTACAGTGGAACTTTAAGGGTTAAATATAGTTTGTTCTATAGTTCTTCCTATGGACATGTGTATGTTTCATCCAAAGGCAATTCTGACCTATAACCCCATGTATACTACCCTTCCTTGTGTACTTATTGCTGTAGATTTGATGAAGGGATAAAGGTAACTTTTGTCTCCTAGTCCCCAAGGTAGAACTAATGGAGAATTCCTTTTCTTCTTCACCTCCTATCCCACTCCCTTTCCCTAGTTACATTCATCTTCCAATTTAGTAGAAGAAAACAATTTTATAGGAAACTGACTCTCTGCAAGCTGATCTCAGTGCCAACATGTCACAGAGTTCATGAAATCCATTCCCAGGGAGCAAGCACACTCATCCCAAAGTTTGATTTGTGTAGTCCAGGGCAAGGAATAGTTGTAGCAGCCCTTAAGACACTATCTCTGATATTTGCTCTTGCCTTTATATAACATGTTGTCTTTCTTTGGTTTTTAATATGACAACTAGAGCAACATTCCCTAGCTTATTATGTATGTTCAATATTTAACTCGTTTTTTTAACTTTTTAAAAAATACATTCTTTTAGTTGTTGATGGACCTTTATTTTATTTACTTGCTTATATGAGATGCTGAGAATCGAGCCCAGCATGTCACAAATGCTAGGCAAGCGCTCCATCACTAAGCCACAACTCCAGTCTGCAATATGTTAGCTCATAATGATTAAGGTGAGGTAATTATGATTGGTGCAAGTTAACAACAGATTTTCACATCTCTGGGTTATTGTTCTTGGTTTCTTCTCTCACCTGTATGACTTGGGGCTAGAGGAACTCCACTTTAGTCTTTGAAATTTAGATGACCATGCCCAAGATGAACTGTCAAAATATCAAACTTGAGTGTTATATTGGTTTGGGGGCAGAATTGAAGAGTTGCTATGTATGTAAATTGAGTGATCTTTGAACAAATTATAAATGATCCTAATTTAGCCTAAACCTTTACCTGTTTATGTTGCTTTGGAATACTTACATGAATATTGATAATTAAGATCATGATGCTCCAGTATTTTCTGTACTATAAAATTTCCTGTCCATCACTAGAATCTTTATTAAGAGAGCTCTCAATACTTTAAAATTAACAGGTAAAGCTAGAAAATGAGCATAGAAATGAATTTAAAATGTGGTTATTGGTGTATAGATGCAGGTCATAGAGAGCTGAACTTAAGTATAACTCATTTTGTCCATAAGGTTGTCATAGTTATGGTTACAATTATGCAAATTAATTCCAGCTTTTGTTCTTAGTGATAATACTGAAAATACAGTTTAAGATATTACTACCCTTGAAATCTTTTATAACTATGGAGTAATTTCATATTGAAAGAAATGATAATATTCTTATCTCCTGCCATTTGAAGCTTAAACATATTTCAAAAGAGTTGAAATTGTGCTATACAAAATATAGAGTGCTTAAAGCAGATTTTCATAGGACTTGTGCTCCAAATTTTATGGCTTCTGGGACTCATTTGATGGATATATAGTATAGATTTAGAGAGTTTTTTTAAGACTCCTATTGACATAAGTGAATACAATGGTTCCTTGGAAACCATTCAGATGTCCGGTCTCAGTGAAGTGTGGATTAAGGTTCAGATGCATATAGCACACATAGATGTGCAACAGAATGTTCTGAGGAGCCTGCCTTCTCCATTAAGGACATTGCATTTCTTTTCATCTTTTAATGACTACTGGTTTAACAGGGGGGGAAAAAACAGCATAGAAACTGTAAGGTACAGCTCCTGAAACCTAACCCGAATGGCATGTTGTATTGAAAACTCTTCTCAATACTTGCAGTGCCTTTATAGCTGAGGACATGTGGTATATATTACAGCATCCAGGGAATTCAAACCTCCGCAGTGTGGAGTCACAATGAAAGGCTAATTTAAAAATGAAGCAGTAGCCCTTGCTCCTATGTTACTTAGCAGTGTGTCCTAATCTCTTGACATTAATTTAGCCTGCTCTGGGTAGAACAAGGGAAATGCAAATTTAAGGAAAGGGGATGTAGGGGCTTCTCTTCCTTCTCTTAGTACTTCTCATCCTCTAACACTCTGCATTTCACATCGGACACAGTCATCATAGAAAGGGCTAAAGGCAGAGCTGTCCATGGTTAGTTTCTAACTGTTGGTTGAAATTAGGTAATAACAGTCCTGCTGGTGAACAAAACTTATTAGAGTAGACTGGGGAACAAATGCTATCTCTCAGCAGCAGGCAGGAAGAAATTGCTGTTGAAAAAGCTTACCTCTCTGGGGAGGAATCAGATATCAGACTTTGCCAAGCCTCAGGTCCAACCCATAAGTTCCCACCTACATCCCCCGCCCCATCCCAGCTTTGTTAGATTGCTAGAATCGATCGCTGGCTTTTCCTGACCCAACAGTAGGTGCAGGAAAGAGTCAGCAAGAGGGAGAGCAAGCAAAGGGGGGGCAGGGGGAGTTGGAAGACTGGGGCTGCTTTTCTAGAGAAAGAAAGAGAAAGGGAAAGGGGGGGGTGTGCATGGGGACCAAGCTTAACTGGTGCCTGCCTGCTTCTCTTTGATTTGATGGCCTTTATTCCTTCTAATTGGATAAAATAGGAAGTCACTGGCAGTCCTGTGTTGCTGTGTGCACAGTACTGATTTTACTCAGACCAGCCGGCAGCACAGAGTGGGGGATAGAGGGTGGGGGCTGGGAGAGTGGGGAGAGAGAGAGAGAGAGAGAGAGAGAGAGAGAGAGAGAGAGAGAGAGAGAG